GATGCAGCTGTTAAAGGTGAATTATACTTTACTTGGTCACTTGGGGGGCAGAAATCAACAATAATCTGAAAATCACACACATTTGACACATTTATAGAGTTGATATTAACGTGTTAGACAAGGTGCAGCATTATAGTTTTGGTCGTATTTCTTGTGATTTTATGATTCTTTTTAGCTCTGTTTTGGTCTCCACCGTCCACCAAGTCTTTAGCTTGGTAGTTGTTCCTTCACTTTTCTCAGCAAGCTGCTAATCATGTCTGTCGTTTGATGCTGGACGGATGGTGTAAAGCTGATTCATCAAAGCTTTCAAACATATTTTCTGCAGCTGCTGTAAAAATGCTATAATGAGAGCGGTAAAAGTCAACCTATTTGCATGCCAGATGTGTCAACACATAAATGATGGGCATTTAGTGTCTCCCCAAAGCTCTGTCTGGGGGGTCAGACTGTCAGACCCTGCTGCTGTAAATTGAGATCCTTTTTCTAAATGAACTCTGGTGCTCTGAGACATTACCACTTCCGTCCACAGGGGCCGCCAACATCAATACGGAACTAAAAGTTCCTCGCTTTGATAAAAAGGGGTTTATCAGGAGACAGAAGGGAGGGGAGGAAAGAGGAGGGTAAGACTGGAAACAGGGAGAGGGATGGTGGGTTCAAAGTGACTCATGTCCAGACTCATTAATGGCGTGTATTGTGTGAGGCCTGAGGCAGGACGCGGTCCCCACCACCGACTCCCACAGGGGGGACACTAATGACAAACATCCTGCTTCACGGTGCAGGAGACACTCCATGCATCACATCTGCTTGTTTATTCTCACCCTGCTTACTCTAATACTTGATCTTTCTCCTGAGAAAGAAACAACTCCCTTGCTTTCTGTCACACTATCTCTCTCATGCACACAGCTGTTGTTGCACCGTCAAAGAGGGCAAAGCAGCTTGCAACTTTGTTTTCCGGCTCCTTGCTAGAGACACAGCAGTGCATCCCCCCCCCCCCCCCCCCAACTTCCTTGTTGATAATGAATGAATGGTTCACCGTGTGTTCGTTGTGCATGAATTATACAGTGGGGGTGTTTTTATGTTTTGTGAGAAATACGATTTCAAGTGCTTCAACAAGTCTGTTATCTGTGTCAAGCTGTCCGGAAGAGAAGAAGACACAGAGGGAGAGGTACAGAAAATGCTTCCAATTACCTCTCCAGCTCTTCTTTTCACAGCAATTCACACTTTTTTTATGTTGCTTCATAGAAATGTGGCTTTTTTATTTTTTTGTACCCTGATCGACAGAAAGTGTTGAATTGCAAACAAATTTCTAATTAATTAAACATATGCATATTTCACCTTTTAATAGGACACAACTAAATCACTACAGGCGCAGCCAGTTGGTTTAGAAGTCACATAATTAGTTAAAACCCTTGTGTTGTCCTCCCGACTGCCATACACCTGTTGTCCTCTGGGGTCAAAAATGACCCCACCTGGTTTGACTGTTTTTAAAGCATATAGTATAAATTGTCAATCAATTCTGTTTTACACCTTTAGTCTTACTTCAGTCCAACCCATTACAACAAATGTTTCCCTTCATTTTGGAATTTAGGGCCAATAGACCTTGTTTACATAAAAGTATACCCTGTTTCTGAGTAAAATACAATGAAACAATGAATTATTTTGACTTTATATTATTTTTTACTATTTGACTGATCACAGAGAGGTACATGTCAAAGTTTAGTGAGGATGCTGTTCTTGAATCATTTGAATTTTTCTAATGGCAGCACATAATCACACCTGTTGTCCTCTGGGGTCAAAAATGACCCCGTCAGGTTTGACTGTTTATAAAGCATACAGTATAAATTATCACCCACCTCTGTGTTTCAACTCCTTAGTCAACTTTATTCCAAGTCATTACCTGACATATAAAACGTCAACATTCATTTCTGCAACATTTAACCCTCCTGTTACCTTCAAATTTGCTAACACCTGTTATCCTGGGGTCATTTTTTACCCCAGCAATTTGAACCTGCAGAACATTATTGTAATTAAAATTGCTACCAAAGTTTATGTGTCAGGTACTTAGTTTTTTGTTGACTACATAAATAGCCCTTCATATAAAACAACCCCCCCCCCCCCGACACCCAAACCCATATACATCCAGAATCCCTGTTACGGGACTATGGAGAAATATGCAGATCACCATCAAATCTCACTGATTGACCTAAAATTGGAAAGAGATATTTTTTGGGTGTTTTAATGGCTTTACATATCACTTTACATATCAACATGTTGAGTTTGTGTTTACCCAGTTGTCCCCATTAAATTAGGAAAAGTCATTCAATATTAAACCAAAAATATGATGTCTCATTTATTTAGAACATTTTGTGTTGTCCTGGGGTCAAAAATGACCCCAGGACAACACAAGGGTGGAGATGAACTTTCAGTTGATTATAGTACAAATACACCAGTATCTGGAAGGTCTGAGTGAGTCAGCACAGACTACATCAAAAAGGGAACGTAGTCACTGTGACGTCACCCATCGGTTTGTAGACTGCAGTTTTGAAGCCTTGAGTTTGACATTTTGGCCGTCCCCATCTTGTGTTTTGGTCGTTGCCATCTTGGCTTTTTCACAACCAGACATCACAGGAGAGGGTGGAGCTAAGTATCATTGAACGATGACCAAAATGGACAATTAACATTTCTGAACTGAAAACACTGTGAAAGGGTTAAAGTTGCACGGACAACTCCCAGACCGGACAACGCCATGGTAGCAACCACAGTAGCCCCGCCCTAAATCATCCCCTGCTTTATGGTCTGTTTGACTCTAAATGGACCATAATGTACTAAATGAACATCATGCTGTATTGAAGAAGACTTGAAACTAGAGATTGAGACCATAAACTCATGTTTACAATGTTTACTGAGGTAATAAATCAAGAGAGAAGTAGAGTCATTTTCTCATAGACTTCTATACAACCAGAGGAGTCGCCCCCTGGTGGACACTAGAGAGAATGCAGCTTCAAGACACTTCCGCATTGACTTCACCTTTCTGAACCGGAGGTCACTGCCTGACTTTAACACCACAAACTGTGACAACGCGGTCACACCTCTCTGCAACTCTCACTCATTCCACCGTTGTCGTCCAGCAACAAGTCACGTGACACAATAACTAACAGACCGGGTCGAAACTAAACGTAAAGACAAATGTTTTATTTCCCTGTAGGGGTTCTTTCCATAATGTTGTCAGACACTTATATACAATAACAATCCGAGCATGTCAGTGGAAGGACAACAAGCTCTTTTTAGTTGATGTACATTGACGGTAGAGGAGTTGCCCCGAGCGATTACACTGCAGCCCTTTTAGCGGATGCCGGCTGCATCATTCCCACGCAATACCGGAACAATCTCAAAAAAATAGTTGTCCCCCTTAATCACTTAGACACAAAAAACATGGGGAAATAGAGTCCAGGTTGAAAAATACAGAAAGTACTCAGGATAAATGAGGATGACTTTTGAAGTAAAAACCCGAAATACTTTGAGACAATGTAGCTGATTTCCTGCCAGCTGTTGTTGCCTAATGATGCTCAGAGTCCTTTCAGGTGACAAAGATGTATCTGCAACGGTGCTAAATTAAAAAATCCATTCACACACACACACGTGCACACACGCAACACACAACCAACCCCGGGCCATTGCTGACGCCTTTGGGCCTATAAAGGCTATTACACTGTCAATACATGTACGTCACAGAATCTATGTGTGTATTCCCTCTGGCCATTATCGTATCGGTGTGGTGAGCTGTCATTACAGTGAGTTGTGTGACAGCCTGCAGCGCCGCCTGTGTGTGTGTGTGTGTGTGTGTGTGTGTCTGAGTGACACAGCAGAGAGAACAAACAAAAGAGCATTGGCCTAATAGAAAACCTGAAGCTGAATCCTAGAATTTTTCCCTGTTTTTTAATCTCTAAAAGAGGAGAGAAAAGCCTCAGTGACTCTTCTATGTGAATCAACATGAGCTAATACAGTCTGATGGGTCTTTAAATGGAGTCCACGATCCCCTTAGGGGGTCTCTTACATGACCCCCCCCCCCCCCCATGCATTATCCTAATGATCTAATGTAGGCTCTAAAAATAAAAATAACATGATAATAATAGACACCCTTTTCTTTTGCTTCATCTCTCTTTCATCATCCTCATCTTTTTAAAGTGTACTCACAACGCACTGCAGGAGCGCCCTCCACTGGTGAAACGTCGCAGTAAAATAATAAAATAAATATATCAATTCACAAGCATTTATTTTTATTCTGAAACACTGCATAGACTTAAATCAAGACTCATGAAGCGAAACACGTACAAACAATACGCACAGTGCATTTGGTCGAGTACATATACATCACTGACTGTGTGTCGATCACGGAGCTACAACAAACACATTTCTATCGTCTTTCAAGTGGGTTCCAGGTACGTTTCAATACTCAAGACCGTGTTGGCAAGAGCAAGTCAAGTTCAGTCCAAATAGCCCCAAAAAAAGAAATGAAAAACAAAACAAAAAAAAAGCCAGTCTCTCCGTCAGCCCCCTGCAGGGTGAGTCATCAGCAGAAAGCAAAGCGTTGGTTCTCCAGCAGGGAGGGGTCCCCACCAAGCCTCAGTTAAACAATGACGTCATATAGAATACAGTAAACAGTGTTGCTTTTTAAATATTATATTGTATTATTTTGTAGAGAGCATCACTTTAGTATTATTTTAGGACATATTCGGATTCGTGATTCCAGTGTGTGTGTGTGTGTGTGTGTGTGTGTGTGTGTGTGTTGACCTGGGTGGTGTGAGCTGCTGCACGACATGGTCCTTTGCAGGGATGAATAAAGTTGTATAGAATTGAATAGTGACCATCTGTAGGTCATGTTTCACCACATCTTGTCATTTAAAATGATGCTTAAAGACACATATCAAAAATCTTTAAAATCTTTAAAACTTTAAAATAAAACGTATTATGGACCAATACACATCCCCCCCCCCCCCCCCCCCCCCCCCACACACACACACACTAAACTGTCAGCATGTGCTCTCTACGGTCTAATACATCTCACAGAGGTTGTTTGACTTGTCCCAGCCCTTTATGGATATCATATCATGGAGGATTTGGGGCTTCTTTTTTTTTTGTTTTTTAAGGCAAGCTGATGATTTACGCGTTGCTGGTGGTTGGACTGTTTGCGCCTCTGTTTGCGCCACCGGTTTCCTCTGCGGGTGATGTTTCTCCTCTTTTTGGCCGTGGAGGATAACACATTCAGCCGGAATCATCCGCGCCGTTCCCGAACCGTCCCTTCACGGTCTCCTCCGATCCCTCCTCCGCCGCGCCGCTGTCCGATTCCTCCTCTATGGTGACGCGCGTGTCAGCGGACGAGCACAGCGAGCTGACGCTGCTCTGCTCCGCGCACAGCGCGCACGCCAGCGGAGACGGCAGCGCGCCCCCGCAGGGGAGGTGCCCGAAATGGTTGCCGTGGTTACCGCAGAAGGGCAGGGACAGCTGCACCGCGCGCAGCTCCGAGACGGCGGCGGGAAAGGTGAGGCTGTGCTTCTTGGGCAGCGCGCCCCACTCGCGCTGCTCCTCCTCGTGCAGGAGGCGCGTGAAGACGTTGGTCCTCCTCTTCTCTCGCCTTTTGGAGCGCACGTAGCCCAGCATTATACCACAGAGGAAGATTCCGTAGAAAGACATGACTATCAGGATGTACGGGTACGCGTTCCCGTCGCTTTTGTCCGCCGGCGAGCGTGCGTGCAGGACCCGTTTGGATGACGCTGTGGAGTTTTCCAGGTGCCCCATTTGTTTTTCAGTGCAGCTCACGTGGAGGACCTAGAAAGTGCGCTGGAAAAGATACAGAAGTACATCCATAAATATGTGGATTCTTTTCCTTTACGCACACTTTACGCACGAGGATAGGTTCCCATTGAGGGGAGTTTTTCTATGCAAGGGATTGCAAAGTGATGAAAAACATTTGTAAAGTTATTATTATACGCCCACAACTACAACATGGACAAAACATTTTAAAACCTCTTTATTTGGAAAATGACGATGAATTTTCTCTTTTAAATGAAAAGTTAAGTAGCTATACTTAAGGCATGAAAAAATATAGAAATCAATGCTTCACTTTGACTTTTTGCTAATTAAATTCAGTGCATACAGCTTACTATTTATAAAAAATTTTAAATGCAACTTTAAAGTATATTATTATGTTTGCATCAGGATACTTCAAGAACATTCTGAAAGTTTTTTTAAAGTTTTGATTCGTACAGTTTACTTTGAAATGTCCAGTCATTGAGAAAAAGTTACCTAAAGTCAACACACAATGATTGAGTTCATATAAAACTAAACAAACATATATATATATATATAAACAATAACCAAATCCATAAACTGTCTACTCACCAAACTGAGGAGCTACGTCTCATGTGAACCTTCAGCGTTCAGATCTTCCTGCAGCTCTTCTGGAGTTTGGCAGCACTACTACATGCGTGATGTTATTTATACAGAGACCCCGGAGTGTCACGAGTCACATGACGGGGACTGATTTGTTAGATGAGTCCCGAGTCTATGGAAGCCCTGAAGGAGAAATAAGCCTCCAGACGGTTCTAACGAAATCATCAAATGCCCATGAGTATATCAGACTCTTTGAACGTCCAATAGAGAGAGACCAGAGGTGATGTGATGGAAAAAGAACTGTTAAGAAACTGGTGTTCAAAATCTCCGCATCTGTGTATAAGGACGCATGTCTCAAGCTTCTGTACTCTCCTGCGAACAATTAAAACATTTTCCATCCTCATCTCATCACACAGAACCTACAGCTTATGAATAAAAGCATGCAGCACGTTCAGGAGCGGCACGGTGGAAATGAAGATCAAAAAGTAGAAAGTATGTCTTTCAGGAAACTGCACAATACAGTGTATGAACGAGTTCATTTCCACCAGTGCAGAATTATATGTTATAACTATGAGATTTTGAAAAACAGCGCAGGTTTGGTAACATGAACAAAATTAGTTTTTCATTCTAAAGATGGCTGCTTTCCTTTTAGAAATGTGATCTCCAAATGACTGATGTACGTCTCCATACCGTTACAAATGGTGAGCATTAATGCTTGAATTTGTGACTATTATTGAATCAGCGACGGCTGATCATATGTCTGTCTTTTAGTCACTTAGGCATCAATGTCACACCCAAAGAGGCTGAAACACTGAATACAAAAGAATTACAGCGCTTTTTTTTTAAAACTTTCAATTAAATTAAGTAGACTTAGTGATATAAAATGTATTGCTCCAAAAACAATAAAACACTCATTGCATGTAGACCAAACACAATTCTTTATTTACCTCATTTTGGGTCATTTTTTTTCCAAATGTCAAGTTACAAATAAATAGTTGGATGCGCTTATGTTACAAGGCGAGCTCTCTGCACAGAGAGGGAGTGGAGCTCCACAAACAGGTTGCTTGATAATAAAGCTCGAGTTACAATAGAGGCTGTACACGTGATTCCTCTGCTGGTCACAGCTCCACACACATGTGTATGTTTGTATGACGACAAACGAAAAAGGAATTAAGAGAGGCGTGACTCAGAATCACAAGAGAAGGCAACAGGTGTCACATTGTGAGGGATGATGGCGTCATGTTCGTGCCGCGTACAAAGTTCACGAGTCACACTCGTGCACGTTACCAAAAAACTATGCGACTTTAAGCCGGCGGTGACAGTCCTGCAGAGTAAACGTTAGCCACACTTGTCATTTATTTAAATCCTGCTTGCTCACATCGAGAACGCTTCATTTGTGTGCCGTCTGTAATCAACGGCCTTATTTGGATAGAAATGATCCATTTTCACGTTGCACTGTGACTTGTCAAATGTGACAATGATTACATTCATTTCATCTGTAAAACAAGCAAGTTCATGTGCATTTTTTGCACATAAAAAAGTATATACTATCCCTGTAGGAAAGTACAATAGACTAAACAACAGTGCATCTTTGTTTCTTTTCTTTTTAAATAAGAATATTAGGTGCCATCTGTCATTTCCCTAAAAAAAAGGACAACAATCTTAACATTGATGATATAAAGATAAAAATTGTTTGACCAGATATGACCTCTGCATTTTTTAAATTTTATTTTACCACCCTGCTCTCGCTTGCCCTCAAATGACTTTGTGCTTTTGGTATCAAGATGTGCTCACGGGCGGGACGTCCCACGCCCGTGAGAGTCAAAGTCCCGACTGTGGGTGGGAGACAAAATAAACCACAGAACTCAAAACATGTGGACAAAAAAAAGAAACAAAAGACTTAACCGTCTCCTGACCTGCAGGAGGAAGGATTTTCATACCTCTACGTTAAAAGAAAGAAATTAACTAAAGGAAAAGATTTAACCGATCTTAACGTCTCGTCGGCACAAAGCGACTAGGAAACAAACATGTCCGCCCAACCTTCTTGAGCTTCTGCTGCTTGGCACTCAGAGAGAGTTCAACAGACAACATCAGCTGTTTCATAACTCACATCTGGAACAATAAAGATCCCCCACAAAGTGGTCATACACCTGGCTGAGAAGAAAAAAAGCAGAGGGGGAAAGGCAGCAGTGTTTGTGTTTTTCTTTTTCAGCCTTTCTTTAGTTACAAATTCGACAACAAAAGTTGCCTCCACGATGGAAGCGGTGACTCCCTACACTTTCAGCTTCTTCACAGATTCAGGTCTCTTGTGTTCATGGGGCAGGATGAGAGGGGGCAGTGAGAGGGCACTGAGAGAGTTCAGAGTGCTGGTCTGTGCTTTTGAGGATAACCAACGCGTCACTTCCCGCCGTACATTCTCTCGATGTCGTCCTGGTATCGTGTCTTCAGCTCCTTGCGCTTGAGCTTGAACGCATCAGTCACTAACCCCATCTCGGGGGTCCACGGGTCCGGGCTCAGGCAGATCTTTCGGGGGATCTCGAAGCGCTCCAGCTGGGCTGCGACAGAAGAGGACGAAGCGTTAACTCAACCCCTGGAAAAACGCTCACAAAAACCTCACCTTTTGACCCTCTTCTCACCTGCTAGAGCGGCCTCGGTGATGACTTTGAGGACCAGCTCCTCCACGGCTTTGCTGCCGCACAGCTCCTCGCATGAACCTCGGATACCGTACTGGTCGGCCAAAGCCAGCAGGTGCTTCTGATTGGGCACCACGAAGCCAATCACGTACGTCTCATCGCTGCAGAGTGGGAGGAGAGGGGACGACAAAGAGGGCCGTCAACGTGAAAGAAAAACAGAGAGCGGTTATAAAGCGACGCCGGCGTTTGTGTGTTATTCCAGCGAGCGAAGGTTCGGCCAAATAAGGCGATGGAGCCCAAACATCAATTCTTCACCAAGTGACGTTTTCTTCCCGTAAAAGGGAATGGAAACATGCCTGAGCAGAGCGTGAACAGATTGCATTCTCCAAATATCTTTAAAAAAAAAGTATCTGACTGTTGCACTTTTGACACATAAGTGAACCACAGACTCACAGCGTCAAATATGAAACTGTTAAGTTAAAGGCGCCCTGTGAAGTTTTTTAGGTTCACAATCAAAGCTTGTGTTTACATTTAGTGTTGGTCACCTACATTCATTGTGTGAGATTTAACAAAACATGTTGAAAGTATTTCCTGCCTCGTGAAACATTTGCAAAGCTGATCTTTCTTAAAATCACTTCTTTTTGCAAACGGAGGAGTCGCCCCCTGCTGGTCAGTAGAGAGAATACAAGTTTAAAGACACTCCCGCATCTGCTTCACTCGCCTGGTCCATCCCCATAGACCACCATGTTAAAATGCCCAACTTTACAGCAGAAATATACATGTTTACAGCCTGGTACAAAAAATGGTTTTGGTCTCTAAAGCTAATAATCACATTCATAATAACTGTACCATTTTAACTACATTAAGCCTTAAGTTTATGCATAACTAAGGAGCGTGACGGGTTGCTACCACGGCGTCGCTATCACGGCATTGATCGTTGTCTTATTGTGCTGAAGGACCCTCTAAGAAGACGGCTGTTAATTCTTTCCTGGTCGGCACCTTTTAGTTTAAAGGAAGTATTCACTGTGTTGATATTTATGTTTAAAACATTAAACTCACTTTATGATGTATGCGCTAACAGACACACAAACGCACCTGTTGGCGTAGGCACAGATGTTTTCGACCAGAGAGCAGTTCTTCAACACGGCCTCCACCTTCCCCAGAGAGACGTACTCGCCCGCCTGCAGCTTCACTAAGTCTTTCTTACGATCTGGAAAACACAGCAGAGACCGCTGCTCTGTCATGATCTGTACTTTCAAGTGTGGATGTGTTTCTATTTCTTGAAAAGAAGGGAAGAGGACACATTTTCCACTGAACTGTGTGTATCTGACCGGATGTCATTTTGGGGTTCTGGCTGACTAAAGTAACAGGACTGTGGAGTAAGTGAGGAACAATCTGATTCATTAAAAGGCTTCACGATGGATGGAGGTTGAAAAATCCAGGAGTGTGGAGTAATAACGTTTATGTAGAAGCATCCGAACAAAGACAGATTACCCCAAATGGTAATCTGCATCGATACGACTAACTGCATGTCCTCCACTCTACACATCCACCGTCATCCCTCCATTCTGCCTCTCCTCACCAATTATCTTGAGGCACCCGTCTTCGTGAAACTCCCCGATGTCTCCCGTGCAGAACCACCTCTGGCCGTTCTCGTCCGTAAAGAAATCGTCTTGGTTCTTCGCCTCGTTCTTGTAGTACCCCATGGTGACGTTGGGTCCGCCGACCAGAATCTCTCCTCTCGGATGTGGCTTGTCGGTTCTACGGTAACCACCTGAAAACAGGGTTAAAAAATTCAGCGGATTGAGAATAAAAATGTTATAAAACAACAAAAAAATGCAGATTCTGCTACACAATAACTCTACGGAGATTGAAAACAAAAACAAACCCTGACATGCTTATTGTTTATTCTGAATTCTATTTCTGCTCCGCAAGCCAAGCAGGCAATAAACTCAAACTTGATAAGTATCAAGATTTAACTGAGGGTATTAAAAATGAGTTATGATCCCTTACGTAAAAAAGATTGAAGTTGTGCGGGAGTGGAAAGAAGAGAAGAATGTTTTTCCTTCCAAGGCCAGGTCTCACTGGTCTGGGGAATGATTAACGGCGGATGGATTGGTAAACTCAGAGAAGAGTGTGCATGAGATTACATGCAAGAAACAAAAGCAAACAAGGGCTGATGAATGTCCTTGAGAATCCATTCAACGCTGTGTCATTCCATGGATGTTATCGATATGCTATCTGTGTGTGTGTGTGTGTGTGTGTGTGTGTAGCTCCTCTCCCAGTCTCACTCACCCTCCACCCAGTCTTGGAGCTTGATCTCACAGCAAACCAGTGGCCCTCCCACTCTCCCGGTGCTGTAATCCCACACTAGAACAGAGGAAACCCACGTGATCAGGAAGCACGCTAGCATCGCTGGCACGACATTTAGCGCCACAGCGACGCAACCTCACTTGTTCCCAAAGGAATGTCCACAAAACAGCGTTGTCCAGACCGCAGCGGAGAGTGACGGGCAGCTGTTGGTTTCGGTCTGCCTGGGAAACGCTGGAAGCATTTCCATTTGGTTTTTGTTTATTTTTTTGGGACAAATGTGTCGTCAATGAAAGCTAATAGATTAGCTGCAAAGATAAAAACCGATTATTGGGACAGCCGCCTCCGCCACAGATACGAGCGGCATTCTCTAACGCACGTTATTAAGAGAAAGGAACATTATTTCCCTCTTTCGTGAGGAATGTCTGCATCATTTGTATTTATTTTACAAAACATGAGCTCACATCCCTTCATTTCCCACCAGGCTAACATCGTTACGCTAACTGGTCTCTCAGCTCAGATTTGTTGCTCATGTTGTTTCTACACCACTGTCTTCCTTTTCAAAACAGTTAACGTTAACTAAAACCCACGCACAATACTGTTCATCTACTCAGTATTTTTCCTATTTCTTATCTTTATATTCATGTCCCTCCGCTGCTTTCATCTCTGCCCCGAGGTTGTGGAAACTCCATCGTTTTCCAAGCAACTTCCCACAGTTGCACAATAATGTGCAACTTCTTCCAGTTAATGAATCTTCATCTGGAGCAAATTACTACTTTAATTTGGTAGTTAATGAGTAGTTGTTACTGTTGATACATTGTAGCCCTCTCACATTGAGCAATTGTTAGCATCAGCTGAGGCTGATGGGAACGTCATTTGTTTCTCCGATTTGTGCCGGGATATCTCATTTCTTATTATTTCTTTTTCTCTAGCGATATACCACTCTGAGACTCCCATTACTGCTTACGTTCGCTGATGGTCCCAGCTCCGCAGGTCTCCGTCAGGCCGTATCCCTGACCCACCGGGCAGCAGAAGCACACATTCATGAAGCGCTGCGTGGCGGCGGAGAGAGGCGCACCGCCTGACAGCAACACTCGCGTCCGACCTCCCAGCAGAGAGCGCACTTTCCCGAACACCAGCCTGGATGGAAACGAACATAAAGGTGTGGCGAGAATAACCTGATGAATACCACGAAGAAGTTCTTTATAACTCTCGTCACAGTGAAAAACAAACACACCTGTCACATAGAGGTGTGCTGTTTCCTTTGGCGAGCTGCTCCAGTTTGTAGTTGTACGCCAGAGTGAAGAGCATTCGCTGGACACAGCTCATCTCCTCCACATTGGTCATCACGTTCTTATAGATGCGATCCATTATCTCCTGGAACCAGGACGGTGGAGAAGGAAAGAGAGGTGATGAGATATCGGGTGGGACTAAATGCACAATAAGAGAAAAAGCAGAGGCAACATGTATGACTGAGAGGAGCAGATAAGATAGAGAAGGACACGGCTATGGGAGGATAAGATAAATGTTGGCCAGTAAATCTTTGTTTCTGCACTTATCTGCCTGGTAAAAAGATACAAGTTTGAGAGATATGAGGTGCATTGCCAATGCAGCTCCTAATATGGGGCCCAGCTAGAGCGCCAGCACCTTTTAAAATGGAGAATCTGCCAGATACAATTAAGTATTGGATCTGAAGCACAGATGCATCTATTCTTGTGGAAGATATTTGGAATATCTTGGAACACATGAATGTGGGACACGCATGCTCTTTAATTTAGTTGCATAACAGCAAGTCTCCCCTACGGGTTACTCACAACAAGTGACCCACTAAACCAGAGGAAAGCAGAGGGAATCCACAAGAGCCAATCTGTGTCGGTTCATGAAAAGCAGAAGAGTACTGCAGTAAACTTCTTCCACCTTCATTGTTTGGTTACGGCCAAGGTAGATAAGATGTGTGAATGGTATAATATATTTGACTATTGTATGGGGAAAAGTACAACAATTAGCAAAAACATACAAACAAATCACAAAATTTAGTGAAATAGTAAAAGGTTGAATTTGCATTATTTGCGAACGAAAAAACCCCAAATTTCCTTAAAGGGGACATATGTTCATTATCAGGTTCATACGCGTATTTTGGGTTTCTACTAGAACACATTTACATGCTTCCTTAAAAAACATAACTTTTCTCATACTGCCTGTCATCAGTGTGTAAAAGATTTGTCTCCGAGATTTCCTCGTCATGATTCCACGTCAGCGTGCGTAAAGTATAACCGAGGCTTTTAAAGCTGCATTACTCAATGTTTGACCACTAGGGGGCAGAAAAAAGCTGAACGACTGAGTCGCCACATATCACCAGCTCATGGCTAAAACTTCACCAGCCTCTCAGTAATTTACTTCGTCTGGTTGGTGCAAAGCATTTAGAATAAAGTGGGTTCATGAGAGTGAATTAAATGATTTGTGTATTTGGCCTGGCTGTCTTAGTGAGGAATAAACTGGATGAAATGGGGTGAACTGGCTCAACTGTGTCTCCAACTAAATTAAATTCCCATACAACTAAAGAGCATTTAAGTTTTGAGGGAAACAGATTTTCTCTCGGAGTAAGATCACATTGTAAATTGACAAAAAACTAAACAAAATCACTTGGTTATGTTTAGTACAACATCATGGTTTTATATTATACATTCAAAACGTAATTGGCAGTTTTGTTTCGTGGGAATACAAAGAAATAGAACTGTGCTGAGAACAGGAATATCAAAGGAATTGGTATAATTTCGTTTCTTGGGTAGGACACAGTTTCATTCCTAACTTGACTTGGTGTTTGAGTTTCCTGTTGATAAAGCGCCTGCAGCGGAGAGGACTGAACCCCACAGATCAAGAACACATCATCATCCAAATCAGCAGAGCGTCTTCAAAAGCAGGATTCATAGTTAAAACCAAAAACAAAACAAACAGCTGGCCCTTGTGTGTGTGTGTGTGTGTGTGTGTGTGTGTGTTTGTGAGAGAGGAAGTCGACACAGGATTCACGCAGCAGCCCGTTGTCATATCACAGCAAACAATTTGTATGTGTGTGTGCGTCGTGGGGATAACCACATGGGGCTTTCTCACGTTCTGTTTACAGCTGTGAATGGTTCCAGACACTGGGGCCCTCTGCCCTTTACACTACGACCACTGGGAGATGGGGGAGGGAGGGGGGGAGCTCATAATGTGAGAGAGAGGGAGAGAACTAGCCGGCTTACAGTTAAACCAACGAGAGAAATGTAATTATAATCTATCGTCATGCGGTTCAGTCGTTTTTTGAATATCTTCACGGCAGTTAAAGTTCCGTCATATCTTCGTATATAAAAACGTTGCGTCACTCAACGTTTGAAAGAATCAGGATTTTAACACTTAACATGAGCTTTGACTTTGAGTTATTAGATAAAAAATAATAATATTGGCAAACAAGACGACAGCAGCAAAGTTCGTAACTACCTAAACTTAATACAGAAAGCCCATCGTGACGTGATGCTTCCCTTACACGGTCTCATCAACCGCGTCACTGGAAATCAGCCACACACAAAAAGTAGACCCCTTCTCAACTTTTGTCACTACTCCTTTTAAAACTACCAAAGCACTTAAGAAGGGTGGAGCTCCCGTCACCTCCCATCACTGACTAAATAAATACAGCCCTGCAGGGTTTTGAGTAAAGCTCATCCTGGCGTCGTCGCTGCTGAAATGGATTAATATGCCATTTGTACGCCGCTGCGCGTCTTAACATTGTTTAGTGATGAAGAGCAGAGCTTCCAGCGGTAGGAGGCAGACAGTATGTACGTCACAGTCAGTCCAGAGACAGAGTCCAGCAGGCCTGGACCTGTTGGATCTGTCACTGCTTCTCCACAGCTGGACTACGAACAAAGACGGAGGGGAATCTGACCTGCTGCCAAAAAAAAAGCAGCGTTTGAACCACTTGCAGAGACTCAATGAGAGATACCGTAAAGGTTGAGGCTTCTCAAACGTTACACTGTATAATGCAAAGTGTTGAGTGAACTGTACCGGGACAGCTGCCATCAGAGTGGGCCGCAAGGCGCTGGTGTCTCCCTTGCTTCCTTTCTTGATCTTGGTTGACTTTGGGTGGGGAAAAAAAAAGCACAATAATTGTTTCCACAAATCTCATTTGAAATCTATTTCCCAGAAATGCAAAAAGCAGTCCAGATCAGTCACACCTTACCTGGTCAGCTAGAGTCTGAGGTGACGAGTAGCCGATCCTACAGCCGTGAGAAACGCACACGAGCTCTGCACTGAGCTCCAGTACGTGGGCGAGAGGCAGGTAGCCGATGTAGGTGTCCTCCTCGCTGTGAACACACATGCACTCTTTGAGACCCCGAAAGTAGTCAGTGCCATCTCATTCAAGCCCGGTGAAGTTTACAAAGCTGGATAAATGTCCTCTGTCCTCTACACATGAAATATCTGTTTTAATACAAACCCTCATGATCTCTGGAGTCATACATCATGTAGTTATAATCTATAGAAGATGAATGCAGTGCATCAGAAAGATTATCTGCACAAAATAGGGCCATCTTTCTCCTTTGCTTGGACTTAAAAATGATCTGCTGGCCTTCTCTTTATCGCAAGTATTTCTGGATTCTGAGGAATCACAATGGACGTGTCTGCAGTTGTTACTGCAGCTTTAGCTTCCATCTTTATCTTTTTAATCAGTTCGACATCCTGGATATGTCCTTCAAACACATTTCAGACCATTCTATCTGCTTCTAATGGATCATCTTTGCTCAGGAAGTGCAGTTAGTGACAGTGTGGGCTCCATCGTAGCTCTGATGGCTCGATGGAGTAGCGACGGGGGGGCGGGGCTTCGCGAAGGATCAATTCTGAGCATACACAGTCATGTTACCTAACATACACAGGAAAGCCATCGCTTTCATTAGAAGTCTGATTGAGATTGTAACATCCGTAACCTCTCCAACCTCCATCTTTCTCCCCCCAACTCCCATCCTGACAGTTTTCTCCTCCGCTCATACTGAACGCACTCCCTTCCGTCTGCATTTCCTCCCACCACTGTCTGGTTCCCCAGAGAGAAGGGTCCCCCCCCCGCCTTTGTTTTAATGTAAACATTTGTGTTGCATGATCACACTAGCTGGCTCATACTTGTGCACATGCTCCGTTTACATGGAAGCCTCGACCTAGATATCAGCCCCAAAGGGTATTTGGGCACTTTTCCTTAAAACACAGCAGAAAAGAGGAAGTTACTGTCCTCACTGTGCTGATATAATGCCATTTAAACAGCTCGTCTCTTCTTCTGAGCCGGGCAGACAAGTTCAGCCATGAATGGGTTTAGGTGCAGACTGCTCAGTTTGGGAAAACATTCCCGGAAATATCACTTCTTCCATCAAAAGGTCCACCAGTCGAATAGCTTGAATTGGTTTAGTTTAAAGAAATAGATCAACATTTTGGGAAACATGCTTATTCGCTGCATTGCCATGAGTTAGATGAGAAGATTGATACCACTCTCATGTTTGTATGCTGAATATGAAGCTACAGCCACTTCGCTTAGCTTAGCATTAAGATTGGAAACAGGGGAAAACAGCTGGACCGTCTCTGCCCAAAGGTAACGATGTATAAAAACTTGCTCATAAAAACGATTAACTTGCAATTTAAGAGGAGTTTACTTCTTGGACTATTTCTTGGCACGGGTCGCATGTTTTTGTACAAAACCATTTTTTAAAAATGTAACAAAATAAGTCAGAATATTCAAATGTTAATGGTTGAACACAAGGAGCCATACAGGAATTTTGTCTACAATTAATTACAATTATTATCTGATTAAAGAAAAAGTAAACTTGACAACAAGTCTGACCAAACAATGTGCTTTAAGTATATATATATATATATATATATATAAAACATGTCTCTGATTGTGTACATCACGTTTCCAAGGGTGTAACATGGATTTTTAGATACGAGTTCGCGTGGCATACCTCAGGTTGGGTATCCGCTCGGCCATGCCCGTGATGCCAGCGATGATGTTGCTATGAGAGATCATGACGCCCTTCGGTATGCCGGTGGATCCGCTGGTGTACATGATGACCGCGATGTCCGACGGCAGCGGCTGCTTACGCTCACGTGCTGCTGCGATGTCAATGTGAAAACACACACATACACGCACACACACGTGAGCTTAATGTGACAGAAACGCATCGCAGTTACGCTGTGATTTGTATATATTGCATTTTGTATATCATAATTTGTTCACGCAGACACATTCTTGGAATGAAAGCCTCCGTGTGTTCCATTTGTTGCATGTGTGCAGGATGATTAATGATTAATAACAGAAGATGCACGGGGTGTCAAAGGCCGAGGAAATGTTTAGTTCCTGTAACTCAATAGAGGCCGTTCAAACGCATGGATGGAAAATAGTCAGCTGTGATATTAAACAACTCTTGGCACACTGGAGAGTTTGTGTCTGACTGTGCTAACTGAAAAAACACCATCTCTCCTCTTTCTCTCATCTCCCTCTGACTCTCTTGCACGTTCTTCTTTTTTCTCTCCGTCTCTGCTCTTTCATCATATCAGGACTTAGACTGTGTACATTTGTTGGCACTATTTTATCTTCCGTTGAATCCAGCTCTGGCTGTCAGTTCAGTGTGTGTTTGTTTACTTTGGACTTCCTCTCATCTTGTAGGCCGTAAATCTAATTTTTGCATGGATGCAATCTTTGATATGGCATCCAAGCAAAAATATTTTACTCTTAAGTCGCAGATCAGTGGATTTAAAAGCATATCAGACACCTAAATACTGCACAGCGGTTTATAACACTATGAGACAGGATTTTACTACTCTGGAAAAGTTACCACAGCAGCAAATATTCTATCTTTTGTGGTGACGATCGCGGGGTGGACAGTAGAAATACATTGTCCTTGTTACAAAGGAATGTGTGAATGCATGTACGTGATACGCCAATACAGCGTCTAGCCGGAAGGCGTTGAAATTAATGAGAGGGATGCGTATTTTGCACAAATGTTTCTTGAAATAAAGGAATGACGGTGCAGAGTGGTGATCCCTCTCTGGGCATCCTGTCGGAATAAATAAGTAAAGTTTAAATCAGTTTGAAGGGTTGAACAAAACCAGGTGGTGGTTTGCTCTGCTAGCAGCAGAGTTCACTTCATTCGTTCAGCATGGTGTGGAACAAAAAACAGAACTAAGACGTCTGAGCGCCCCGGAAAGAAACCCAAACAGAGGGTAAAGGGCGACAGTAAATCACACAGCAGTCACAAGGGGAGGGCCTCTCTTCGTCCTCTTTCCTCTTTCCTCGGATACGAGATACGTAGGAGTGTGTGCTCCGAGAGCTGATGTCATGTGAAGTTAACAGTGCTGTGTATAAACATGACCCTCCCCTATATCCCAGAGCTCCATCCTCCCTTCCCAAACCTACTTCCTTCCCTCTTTATCTGCACATGACACTACCAGCTTCTCTTGTTTTAGGTCACTCAGTTTAAGCGGCCACAATAAAAGGTGAAGAGTGGGCGATGACCTCTCGTCATCCGTCCAATCCACTCGCTGAATAAGCATCGTATCGCCCTTAATCCGATACAGATGTGAGCACTTCCTCATTCACATGACCTAACGGGACCGATACCAATCCGCCCCCAAGAAAAAACCCACCATGACCATCCCATTAAGAGAGGGACTATCTGTTACTAACCTCTAAGCTGCTAAATGTCATGGCGTTTGCGGCTTACCATTCTCGGGCCTGGCTCCCAGCTTCTGAACAGCAGCCATGTTGTGGACGCTGATGCCACGTGGATAGCCGGGCCACGAGGTCGGTGTGCTGTCCACTACGATGATGTGCTGCAGCCTCGGCACTTCAATTAGGATAGCCTGACAAACACACACACACACACACACACGCAAACGCAAGCATGAGCACAAATATGACAATCATCCACATGCCATGAAAACCAGGTTTCTTCTTGGACAAGTAACTAAAACATATATTTGGGCTCAGAGGGGATGTGTGAAAGGAGCAGAGGATCTGTGTTTATGCCACCTCGATAAAAGGGGAGATGAATTGCCAGAGCACCATTTGTCTTTAGGGATTGAACTTGTCCAAAAGGGTCCTTAACATCCAGCACGTGCACTTCTCCAGACAGTTGCCTTTATATTATTGTTGTAGTTAACACAAACCAGAGACAATGACATGTCAGGACCCAGTGATGTAAACACACCTTAACTTACTTCATTTTTTATTTGCAGGAATAGACTTTGTAGACTACAGGGAAATGTATCTCTAGATGTAATATTTTGTTTCTAGCGGTGTTTAGAATATCAGTTTGGGACTTTAAGGGCCCATAAAGATGGGATCTCTTAAATTTTTCTGATCAAAGGTAGCCTACTTTTTAATTATGTCCTTCTTGGGACAAGACTATTTTGGACTGGTGCTGCCTGCAGCCCACTGAAATATGAGATATTGGGCTACAAAAATAAGATAATCACTATTCATCCCTGCTTGTATGTCTTATTTGCTTACTGCAGAACTAAGCAATGCACAGTTGCTCATGATAAGTCCGTGGGAGGATTGGGCGATGCAGAAATATTACAACCAGATGACTGAGCGTAGGCTGCTCCCTCCATCAAGGCTAAATACTCATGTGGAGTGATTCTGTGTTTGTGTGTTGGTGTGTCTTCCAACCTTGAGTCTGGTCTCCAGGAGCTCTCTGCTGGTGATGATGTGGGTGACCTGAGTCTCATTCAGCCCGTGAGCGATGGCTGGACCTCCCAGCGTGGAGTAAAGGGTGACCACTGCAACACACACACACACACACACACACACATAAAACCGAACCATTATCACAAATTACTGAACCATAAACAGTCTTCTGGGCTTGTTTCCTCAGTATATTTACACATCAGTCATGTGAGACAGTTAATCAACTCTATACATAATGTAACTGACTGAAAGTACATATCTATAAGATGACCAAGATAAAGACTTTAAAGATTTGTGAATATATTAAATCATTTAAATGTCTTTAAGCTAGCCAATAGGGACACGTCTGTGTGTGTGGAGTTATCATACAGCCCGTGAAGCATGTGTGAGGACTCATCATGTACGGGCACTCTGTCTGTACACCGCTCCAGCCCTTCTGATTTAGCCCCTCCCACATCGATGACATCATCTGGCCTCAGCACAGCCTCTGAGCCAATGGGTCACAAGCTCTCGCTTCCTGACAATCATTTTTTTGGGGGATACAAACAGTATTGGTATGTATGTGTGTGTGTGTGTGTGTTATGACTAAGTGCAGCGCTGCTTTGTGTGCTTGCATACATGCGTCCACATTCGAACATCAGTAGTTGGAGCTATTAAGGGTTAAGGAGAGTTTGTTGCCTTTACTTAAAATCAGATATAAGAGAATAAGTGTGTGCTAGTTTTGTGCTTGTGTGTATGTGGTTATTGGAAGATCAGAGCGCCGGAAGAAAACTGTCTCCAGCTTAACTTTTGCACTGAGAAGGTGACGGGAGGATCGACAGATGTAGAGAGAGAGACAGACAAACACAGAGGAGTGAGGTCTGTAACCCCTCCTCCCTACACTGACACAGACACATGGGTTTATGGGACCGGGGCTTCAGTGACATCACATTCCTGCGTCATGGAGCTCCAACACTTCCTGCTCTGCTGCTGCTGTGTGTGTGTGTGTGTGTGTGTGT